CTACTTACCGAAAACTGTTATTTTTTCCTTCAATAGCTACTAACATGATTTTTTCTAGAAAATAATGCAAATAGACGCGTTTGAAGAGCAGAATTGGGATAAAATATGAGTAATTTTGGAAGACAAGAAACCGTCTCAATACAACAAATGTCCAAATTTTATAAACCTGATTTTTGATACTTTTGTCATTACTTCACTAAAGCAAAACTTTTATGAAAAATAACATTTTCTCTAAAGGTTGAAAAAAAAAAAGGTTTTCTTCTTTTTCAGTCCATCCAGGTACACCATAAATGGAGCAAGGATACATGCAAGAGTAGGTTCCTTTTTTGAATAGGGCAGTCCATTTTTGAAGCAAAATGTCCTTGTGACTTTTTAAAGCTTAAAATGTCCTTTTTACGGAAAATGTGTATTACCCTTTTTTTTGTTAGAAGCTCGGTAGAATGGCGAGGAGAATATTTTGTTAAGCTCGACGACCTTTTTTTTTTATTCAGAAGTTTGGTAGAAGGATGAGGAGTTTTTGTATATCAGAGGCCCTGTCAGCATCGTAGTCCTATTTTCACTTTTCAAAAAGGTGGCAACCCTATGCAAGAGACAAAAATAGGATTTGGATAAAAAAATAATGTTAGGAAAAAATCAGGAGATAGAAAAAGAAACAGATAATAAGATTAAATTTATGGAACTAACAAAAGGAAATATAAAAAAGGATAATTAAAAAAAAATCGGAAGAAAACAGAGGAGAAACAAATTAAAGCTAGCTGAATAAGTGTAATAGATTAATTTTATAATAATTTAAATAAGTTACATTATGAAATAATAAATTAGATAATTATTTCCTAATTTTGTAATAACGTAAGAATAAATTATGATTTTGTGAACTACAATAAAATTTAAATCTATGCTGAATAAATTCATCACTTTTCCTTTTATAGAGTTGCATTCCTTGTAAAATAATCGCAGGTTTCAAAAAACATTTCCACCGATATAAATCGGATTTTTACCGGCAGACCAATGCAATGGGTGGATATAATAATTAAATTTATTGTTATTTTCATGTCGGTGTTAGTATCTGTAACTGGTTTGACAGCATATTAAGGAGGCAACAGTCATTGAAGTGTGCGATGACAATCTACAATGTGATCATCGGTTACCATAAGCTGGTGATTACTGTCTGTTTTATTTTACTGTATTATTTGCCGCTTTTGCCTTTTTAGATGGAAAGGATATCTTGTTTGACTAGAATTTGCTTGAAAATAGCATACGAAACAAGATACTATGCAAATTGTGTAAAATATGCGGTCGTAAGGTGAGATATATATTATTAAAAAATAAAACCGTCTTATGCAAAGAATTTCCACTAACCCAGTTCTTCTATTAGATTTTTTTTTGACACCATTATGTCTTAATTTAAAAAAGTGTTAAAATCAAAAAGAACTTGATGTTATTGAAAAGTTGCATTCTCAAAAAATAATAGTAGGAAGATCGGTATCACAAATTTCGAATAATGGCATGAGTAATTCCATGAAAAAAGATGTTATATTATTTATGTATGGGATGCGACCTAAAATATAGGGCTAAACTGCATTGAGTTTCAGGATTATATCAACATTAAAGTACCCCGCTCTGGCCTTAGAATATAATTAAGCTTTTACTTGCCAGCTGCAAATACAAATATTTTGAACGGTTCTCCAATTTTTCAAATGATCAATAATTATCATCGCCTTCAAGACAGTTTGGATATTTTTAGTTTTAAGAAAATAGATATTTTTAGAGCTATTACCATAGAAACTGAGTAGGTGTTTATCCTGCTTGGTAAGTTGATAATATATCTTTTGTGTGTATTTATTTTATTTTAATTTTTCAATTTTTTTTAAATTTGTTTTATGCTCCTTTAAAAACTTAAATATAACGGAATATTTTACCTTCAGTTTTCCTTAAAAATAGACTTCGTTGTACTTCTTATTTGTTTCATGTTCAGTCATATCTGATGTTCTTAACTCGTCATTAGTATATTGTATTTGTTTTTAATTTATGTTCGTCCCAGTCTGTAATTGATTTTTAACTGTTGAGTGGTGTACTAAATACATAAATATATATTGTACTCCATTCTGTTACTAAGACAACTAGACCATTCTAATTTTATTTTCCAAAGAAAGTGTAAGATTTGAAACTGAGCAGATCTCCCTCTTTGATTTGGTATGCTGCTAAACATTCAATATTAATGTAAATAAAGAATCACGGAATCTGTAGTCACTATCTTCTACTAGTTCAAGTTTGTTAAAGTGTCCTGTACTGGAAAAAGCTATTATACTTTTTAAAGTAAGAATGTAGGCTTTCACGGCCGGCGTCCAATGTTATTGTTTCCAGGCTGTTATGCCGTGGTTTTTCTTGGTTATTACTAATAAACGTTTCAGCTGCAACTGTGGCAGCCATCTTCAGTGGCGTGGACAAATTACTCTTTTCGACGTAGCCACTGAAACTGAATCCTCTTATGTCACTTGATATTGGTTTTAGTGGTACATTATCTTTGTGAATTTTTGGGAATCCATATAGTGTTGGTGGTAGATCTTTAGTGGTGTAACTAAGTCATCTACTAGAATGGGAAGATAGGTAAAACATCGACAGCATAACACTCAGTAAAATGGAATCAACCCTACAGTTATCCAAAAATTTACAAAGATAATGTACCACCAAGACCAATATCAAGTCTCATAGGATCATCAACTTATAACCTGGACAAAAATCTGGCGGAAATTCTGCAAACACACGTGGGAAAAACAAAAATCTACATGCGAGACTTTACCCACTTCATCGAACACTTAAATAGTATTAGCTTAGAGCCTAGCGACATCCTAGTCAGCTTTAACATTATCTCTTTATTCACAAATGTGCCACTCGAAAAAGTAGTCAGTAACATAGGGGAGTTTTTTTCCAGAGCTCATCATTATTTTCCATTACTTGCTCACAACATCATATTTCTAGTGGAATCAAACATTCTATAAGCAAATTGACGGAGTCGCCATGGGCATTCTACTCGGCCCAGCTGTGGCCAATTTTTACATGGAAAAAATTGGAGAAAAAGTTATTCGCACTACTGAAACACAACCAAAGCATTGGTTGAGGTATGTAGATAACACATTTGTAATCTGTAGCCACGGGAAAAAAGACCTCCAGAATTTTCTAAAACATCTGAACAGTTTTCATCCTAAGGTTCAGTTGAGCATGGAAATAGAAAAAACCGGCATATTTCTTTCCTAGATGTGTTAGTCAGCCGAGAAGACATTATGCCACAGAGTATGTAGAAAGATGACAGATACTGATCGATACCTACAATTTGAATCCAACTATCATCCAAAACAGAAGCGCACAGTTATCAACACCTTAGTCATCAAAGCGTTAAGCATATGTGAACATATCAACGATAAAATGAAACAGTGGAAAACAGCGTTACAAGCAAACGGATACAGCAAAAATGTTTTAACCCGTGCTACGCGCGCAAGGGACAATAAGACCAAATCCTGTGAAGAACAGAACCAAGAAACTGTCTATCTACCGTACGTAGAAGGCATCACTGACCAAATTGGCAAAATCCTGAAGAAAAAGACAATACTGTTTATAAGCCAACAAAGAAAATAGGGGAATACCTCAAAACAGCAAAAAACCGCGGAGACCTCTTCACATTAGCAGAAATCTACAGAATTCCATGCACTTGTGAAAAAGTATACATAGGACAAACAAAATAAGGCTTTGGTACACGACTAACTGAACACAAATGACGTTATCGTTTAGGACGAACCGAAAAGTTTGCAGTCGCCGAACACACATTATTCGATAAAAAACACAAGATCTTTTTCGGAAATACTAACCTACCATCAACATAAAGATATTACTCGACCAGACTACACTTGGAGGTTATAGAAATACACAAACATGAAAAGAACTTCAATAGAAAGGAAGAAAAAACAACATTTACTAGGATCTGGCACACATAATTAAAAAGCACGAAACTAAAACCGCCTAATAGCAGTACCGCCAAAAAAGCGCGCAGACACGCATATAAATACCACACTCGCAAAATAGGATTCAGTTTTAGTTGATACGTCGAGAAGAGTACTTCTTCCATGCTAATGAAGATGGCTGCCGCAGTTGCAGCTAAAACGTTTGGTTGTAATAACCAAGAAAGACCGCACGGTATAACAGCCGGGAAACAATTACATAATTTTTAAATTTTTGCATTTAAATTGCACGTTTTTCAATGTCCATGGATGGGCTATACTGAGTAGAAAAATGTTTCGTATTGGCGCTAGAGATGCCAATTTTTAATCGGTTATTTTGAAAAAATTATCGATGTTTTTTAATAGATTTTTAGGTTTTTAAACTTTTGATGAATCGATTCTTTTTCATCAATAATCGGAAAAATAATCGGTCGAACAACGCACAGGTAAAATATTTATCTATATTTTATTTATTGGGTAACGGGTATCAGGTCAATAATATTTCAGTACAGATGGCGACGATGCTAGATAATGGTGATTGTTAAAAAAAAAGCGAAACGGAATAAAAGGCCATTTTTCGCGAGCCGCAACATAACCCTCCCAGGGTTTTGTATTTCTGTTTCTCTTCAATTATGTTAACTTAAGAAAGACAGAAATAGTCTGCTCCGTAGATAGCGTACTCTGGTCTGCTCTGAAGTTTGGTTAGTTCGTTTGTTCGTTTAGAGAATATTTGACATTTGACATATTGGCATTTGGCGGCACATTATGTGTATTTCTAGGTTATATATCACACTTATTATACAGATAATAATTAAGAATAAGCTCTGGAATAAGAATAAAATTGGTATAAATAATAAAATTGGAAAGCGTGCCGCGTGCTTTATTGTAAAGGTAAGTTATTTTAGATTTTGGTTGAGCTATTTAATATTTTAATAATTTGATTGTTTGCATGTTGGTGATGGTAGTAATAAAAAATAACTCTATTAATAATACCATCTTGGTATTACCATGCCTCGAAAATCTTCAAGTAATGTGTGGAATTGTTTTATAAAAATTAGTGGTGGAGGAAAGTGTAAATTATGTGGGAAGGAAATAAAAACTTCTGGTAATACTAATAATTTAGCAAATCATATCAGAAAACATAATGGTTTAGCATTAGCAAGTAAAATAAGTAAAGAAAGCATTGGCGGCACTAGGAACAGTAGCGACCCTTCAGTTGCAGAGACACCAAAAATGAATGAAGATGAAGACGAAGAAATTGATTTTTCTAAAAATGAGGATTTTAACGAAAAAGATGGTTATTAATTATTATAACTTAAATGTTGATTATTTTGTTGATAATAATTTACACTTCTAGGTGCATCCTCAATATTGTCAGAAAGATCAGCAACACCAACATCTGGTGTCTCATCACTCTCATTTGCTAATGCTACTTTTACTCAAAAAAGGATTGATGATACATTTGCTGAAATAGGATCATAAGGTGACTGCTACTTATTTTTATTTTTTAAATCTTGCTCATTTAATTAAAGTCTTTTATAGATGGTAGTATGAAATCAATTTTATTAAAAAATGAAATTTTATACATGATTGTAAAAGATAACTTGCCTTTAAATACCACAGAAAAGTCCGGCTTTGTACATTTTATGAAAAGGACTATGCCACATTATAAAATTCCAGGGCGAACAACAATTACACATTTATTGGATAATAAATATGATTTATTAAGGAATCTTATGAAAAACGACTTGTCTCTGGTAAAACATTTGTCTGGACTGACACACTCAACACAATGAGTTTTTTGGGTGCAACTGCTCATTTTATAAGGAATGGTAAATTTACTAACATTGCCTATACTATATACTATATACTTAGAAGAGTTGGATGAAAGGCATACAGCAGAATTTCTGAAAGAGAAATTGTTAAATGTTTCCAACGAATGGAACATTGAAATCTCCAAAATTACTGCCATAATCACACAACGGAGCAAATATAGTAAAGGCAGACTGGCAACTATTAGAAAAAATAAATAGTTGCCATGTTTTTCCCATACCCTTAACCTAGTGGCAGAAAAGATATGCAAAGAACCCAATATTGCACCTTTAATATCAGCTGTAAAAACTGTTGTAAGTTACTCCAAATATTCATTTGCTGCTGCCGATAAGCTAAGAAAGTTGACCCATCTAAAGTTGATATGGTCAGTTTTAACCAGATGGAACTCAACATTTTTTATGTTGGAACGTTTCTTAAAAATTCGTGCTGAGGTCAGTAACGTTCTGTTGAAGTGAGTTGTTTACTATTTGAAATTGTACATGCTTCAATTAATATTTTGCAGGTTTTCTAAAGCTCCTAGAATGCTTAACAGGTTTTGAACTCAATGAAATCGAGAAAGTAATTAAATTACTACAACCTCTGGAGGTGGTATTCAGAGAAATGTGTGGTGATAAATATGTCACTGCTAGTAAGGTGATACCAGTAGTTAATATATTAAACAACAGATTCTAGATTTGGATTTTCAAACCGAAAGTGCCAAAAAACTACAAGCTGCCCTGCTAGAGCAACTGCAAAAACGATTTGGCAAAATGGAAGAGGTTCATTTATTAGCAATTTCCACACTTTTAGATCCAAGGTAATTGTGTTTCTTGAGTATGTTAAAAATTAACAAATTTTGTTTTAGATTTAAACGTTTACACTTCAAAAATGCGCTTGCAGTAAGTAATGCAATTTCAAAAATCAAACGGTTGTTGGAGACTAACATGAGCCATGAAACACAAGAACCCGAAAATGAAGTTAATGAAAATATAAATTTATGTACTGCTGATCAGTCGTCAATTTGGAGTTACCATATGCGATTAGTACAAACCTCTACAGTTACACAAGAAACAGAAAACAATGAACTGAAACATTATTTAACGCAGAAAGTAATTGATATAAAAGAAGACCCAATTGACTTCTGGAACAAACATAAGTTAATTTATCCTATGCTTTCATGCATTGCATTTAAAGATTTGAGTATTGTAGCAACCTCTATTCCAGCTGAACGTATGTTCTCAAAGGCGGCAGTCATTATGGAACCCCATCGCAACAGACTGTTAGGAAGTAGGCTATCCAAATTAGTTTACCTCAATTCTTTATCAGATGAAGATTGGCACTTTTAATATGAATAAAATTTAATAAATCTGGTTTTAACGTGCGGGTCATACAATTCAACAACTCAATTTTTTGTTTTCTTTAATACCTAATCTTGAAATAAATTTTACCTATAAACTTTGGCATTTTCAATTTGAAATAAATAAATTTAAAAAAATGTTGGTTACTTATTTAAATTTTTTTATCTTAAACAAGTTTTTGCATTTTTTATACCGATTATTTAAAGAATTGATTTTTTTATTTCGATTTTTTAACAATTATTTTGGATGGATATAAATAACCAATTCTTTTGAATAAAAACGGCATCTCTAATTGGCGCACGCGAAATATCCTTACAAACCAAACATATTTTTTCAACGTTTCTATCGTTAAGCACAGAAAGAGAAGTTGCTTTAGTTATTTTAAGTTAAGACGTGCAAAGCTATTATTGATTACTTATTCTATAATCCTGTGACAAATGGCATATACATTCTATGTACCTGCACAGCTTAGAAAAGAACCAGGTTTTAGATATTCGAATTCACCCGACTGAAGCCTACCGACTTTAAACAGGTCCCACCCAATTCAACCATGGCCTTCATTAATGGGTCTAGCTTGTACGGTGTCCTATAAGTTAGACATGAGCCACAATAAATCCATATAGGTTACATTAAAAGGCGATGAGATCTTCCCACTCATTTTTAACCTAACCTAATCAAGCTTGTCTTAAACCCAATTGTCGATTATTTTGCAGCGATACATTTTTTATTATTGTATTACTGATAGTGTCGCAAAACGGTTCAGGCTTTACAAGAGGTTCAAGCTCCTTTCCTCAGTTTCCTATCCAAACTGTTTGAAAAGAGACGAAATGAAAGAGAGAAATAAAAAATAAATAAATATAGAAGAGGATAAGAGGAAGTTGAAAAAAAATCAGGAGTAAACAGGTAAAAGTAGAAATAGAAAAGTGAAAGAAATGGAATAACAAAGAAACGAACAAGTTACGAAAAAGACAAAATAAGATTAAATCAACAAAAGGGCATATGAGGACGTAGAGCAACCGGAGCACAGAAGAAAGACCACAAGAATATTAAAAATAAATGGGAAAAACTTAATGTAACGAACCACCCTATTGAGAATTTTGTTTATTAATTGAAAAATCGGATTTTATTTTTTTTTTATTATCATATTTGACATCATTATTTTGCAAAGTGTAACATTTTTAATAGTAGGTATACATAATTTGACTGGTATTTTAAAATAATGGCAAACCGTTTATATTATATTACTTTACGACTTTATCCAATGCAAAATGTGAAATATCAAATCCATTATTTACTTATTTTAATCACTTTTTGAAACTCCTACTGAGATTTAATTGGTAATAACTATGAAACCTCTCATCGCAAATCAGCGGTGGGAGGAAAGGAAACTCGAGACTCACCAATTCCCTTAGTTCGCAATAAAAAGTAAAATTATAATTTGTAGGAATGTTAAGAATCTATAGCCGCGGATGCGCATGAGTTAGGTGATATCCGACATGATAAATGTAAATGAAGTTCTATTCCCTCTAATTGCTATTACATTCTTATATCAGTATATCAGTGTAAATCCAATGTATGCATGCGAGAGCGTCGTAACAGCTTTTGGTTGTATATCTCCCGATTTCATTACTTCAATTATTATTATTCATTTGCAGGTAACACCACATATTCGCTAATTGATTTGTGACTATTCAGGTATGCAGATTTTTGTTAATATTTTCTACATGTGGGATGAATAGAGAATAATTTTATTCCTTTTAAACCGTAATTTATAATTTTAATTTAAATTAAATTATTAATACTCTACAGTCAATACAAATTTTACTCGTTTGTATACTTTTTATGGTTTGCTATTTTATCTTTAAATTATCACATAGAAACAATATCATTTTTACTTTTCGCTAAATAGCAATTGCTATATGGTAGGAGTTGTCCCTAGTATACATAGTACATACTGTAAATAATATGTAAAGGGACCTGCATCCCTTGAAAGATTTGACTTCCAAAAATTCCGCCACTTTCTGGACAATCTTCGATAGTAAACAAAATATGTGCAAATGCTAATGCCCGCATAATCTTGATAATAGAACTGTTAGAACAAATAATCACTCCTCAGACAACGCAGAATGGACAAGATCATCATTTTTCTTCTATAAAGAAACTCTGATACTGGAGGCTAGGCGTGAGATTAGTGTTCATCCACGTTCTCGCAACAGTTAAGCAATAATCTATACGGTTACATGATAAATGAGTCATGGCTGGGACGTTTTACCATGGGCCATGCCACCTTTGTTTTCCACCCTTTCAGGCATCCCTCTGCTTCCCGAGGGATTCCGGCAGATTTCCCTAATCAGGATTGAGTCTAGCCACTGGCTCCACTCAATCAGGCTTGAGGTCCAGCCTTCTTTCCCTCCTCGTTGGGTTCGCATCGTGACACTGAAGCGCAGATGGCCTATTGTGTAACCATATGGATGTCCTACTCTATAACAATCATCGTCATTCATTTCACGCCGCCGATGGTTAGCCGTTAGTCGGCTAAGTCCAGTGGTCACCTCAGTCCTCGACTGCCTAACTGCCGGTCACTCATCCACGACTGCCTAACTGCCGCGAGAAGTTCAACCATAGACGACGTGGTATGAATGACATTAAATAAGTGAGTAAATTGGTGAATGGGAAAGTAGTAGGACTTTCAAATGATGGTATAATAAAGGTATGTCGCGCGTTTCTGCCATTAGTCGCAAGCTAAAGTAATGTCGCCACGCTAAAATGGATTAGGGTGATAGCACAGGGGTGCGAAGGGTATAAAAAAGCTCTAAAATACCAAACCCTGCAAAGTATTAACAATATATTTTTAATAAGTTAATAGTAAAAAATACTTTTTTAAAAACAAGCTTTTTTCATTCCGGTATATTGAATTTAGAGTGACATCATTTTATTTTCGTATTCTTTTTAGAAAACCTTGTTAATTAATTAATTAATTAATACCGAACTTACATTGTCTAAAAACACTTTAGCACATTAAGGTGTAAATTTCTAAAATTCAATTGTTCTTAAGCATATGTAAGACTTTACTGAATGTGGCAACGGTCAGCAAAGTTGGGTTCAAAATCAGTGGTTCAAACAGAAAACAGAGCCGTCAAATCCAATTCTCAAATGCAGTTGACGAATTATTTTTTCAAGAACATGTCGCGATGTTATAATAATCTATTAGCTGATCGAGTATTATTCAGTGATTCTGAATTGGTTTGCGGATTAAACAATGACCAAAACAGGTTTGTTAGTCCTTTCGAATCTTCCGATTATTTAGTTGATTTGTTTGTGTTGTGTTATAGATAATGTTTTTTATGGGAGTTTTTTAGCTGTTAATAAAATAAACTTTAGTTTTATATTTTAGTTAATGATTTACAGTTTGTAGAATACGAGTTCATTTGAGTAGTGTGAAGAATACATTTGTATATTCTAAACATTTTCATTAACTGTTTGTGAATATGAAAACCTGTATAATCTGCCATAAACAATTTCGAATAGGCGACGGAATTTCATTTCATCTGTAAGTATAAATAAATTAAAATCAATGTGTTTAAAAAAAAAGGATAATAGAATAATTTAGCAAACTACATTTTTTAGAACAGTCAAAGAAATTAAATGTTTTTACTTTATATTACCGAGGAAGACGTTTTGTCAGCTATTTATAAATGAAAGTCCTCCATAGCTTGAGGTTTTGACGAAATTTGAAGCACTGTTGCCCTGCACCCTGCAGTAGCCGATTGCTGTTATAGGAAACGTACGAATTAAAGCAGAGAAAAGTTTAGAAATGTCATTCCGTGTCAATAAACATTTGGACGGTTCGAGAAAGTCCAATGGAGCTATATAAGTCAATGATTATGACGTCAGAGTTTAGTTTTATCATAGACGTTGTACGTTCATGTTAACAGTTGTATAGTTGAATTGAAAAAGTTGAGATGAAATAAATTGAGTTACGAAAAACTAGCGCAATAATATTTTACTTAATGCAGAACATACGTTTTAATATCATTAACACATTTTATTAATATTTTTTCCCAGTCGGGCATTTCTCCCAAATCATTAAAGCATGTAATAATTAAAACACGTTGTGAATTCATAATAATTAATAGTTAATTATATTTAATTTTGACTACCTCTGAGATATGTTTATATCAAATTATTTACTTACTTTAATCGTCTTAATCTAATTAGAAAACCAAATAAGCATTTGAGACTATAGTTTTCTTAGTCGTGAATTCAAGCTTTCCTAATAGACACTTTTAGGGAATGTTTCAGGGGTATATGGGTGCAAATAAGTCTTTTTTATTTTTAAAAAGCACACACACACACACTCACACACAAAGCGTAACATTATTATTACTTACTTTCGTCAAAACAAAATTCGACCATAATCATTATTGACAATTTGAGAAAAACATAATAAATTCATTTGCATGTTTCTTACATTTTTTTTATTCTTAAACATTCGTTCATTGTATATCTGCGACCACAAAATTTTATGTGTACTTACGATACAACACTGCCATGATAATTATTTAAAAAATAAATTCAATAAAATAACAAAACCCTCATTTATTGATATAATATCAAACACAATTTTTACTTTAAGGTTACTCTTGAGGATCCTAAACAAGGGGGGTTGGGTGTGAGCAACCTCCCATATTCGACCCAGAAAAGGTATCCAAAGAAAAAGGGATAGGGGAAGGAGGTCGGCCTACTCTTTGAATTTTTCACATTTTTTTAATTATCTATACAAATAATGTATCAAAATATTCAAATTATGAAAAAAATGTTCAGTTCCACCTACAGTTAGGGGGATGTCGAATTTACCTACCTGCACCTACATCTAGAGGGGGTGAAGTGACTTGTCCTTTGGGAGGTGAAATTGTTTTCGTCTTAAAATCCAATTCGTTGTACATGAAGTTCATTTCCCTAAGTCTAGGGGTTCTATATATCGACCT